TGATCTGTCCACCTCAGCCTCCCAAAGTGCTGGGATTACAGGTGTGAGCCACTGTGCCTGGCCTGTTTGTTTTTAATGCAAGATACTATCTCTAGTGCCTGCAGACATAGGATTCTGATAGGCAGAGAAGTGGTGGAGAGATATTCTAGCCTGTGGGAGCAGTGTTAAAATTTAACACACATAATAGTACATTGGAATGGGACCCTGAGTTGGGTAAATCACTCTGAAGTAACTGGAACCAGGTTCCTAAGGGAAAGCGTTCTGGAGGTAGCATTGGGTCAATCCATGAAGGAAATTGAGTGTAATCTTAAGGGATAAACAGAGATAGCAAATTTTCCCATGCCTTTAATTTTATCTATCATTTTCTTTAGTGTCCCTATCCCACCTTTATTTTCTCCGTCCTTTGGATAAGTTCCTGGACATGGTTTATTTTTGTGGTTGGATTATATGATAATGTATATCTTTTAGCAAATTATTCAAATACTATTTTGGGCTCCTGGGAGTGCCAAAATCTAATTAGATCTGCCACATTTTTTTTTTCTGCAAAAATGTATATTACAAAGGTTGTTTTTACCCCATAAAAATGTGTGATTTTCCATAGCTAATAGAAGAGAACCTACGTTTAAGAACCTACACTGATAACCAGTTAGTACTGAGAAACATAGTTTATATGATGCATATACATTCATGTGTTTACTACGGAAAAACATATGTCACAGTGTACATTTCTCCGTTGAAATCATAGTTTAAAATATATACACCATTTGACTGATTATCCTGATTCTTCTTTTGCCAGTCTTCCCATTGCATGAAAACCATTTATCCATTTATGACAGTGTTTGATTTAATTGAACCCACTTCTAAGAGAATGAGTGTTTTAATTAAAAACGTTGGGTATTTTCCCCCTGAATCTGAAGGCGGTTGGACTGATTTGCATTTCTTTCAGTTCGGAGTGTTGAGGGTAATCTATTATGAAACATCTCTTTTCTTGATATGTATGCACATTAGTTTTCATTATTTCTATTTTAATTAATATCACAGATCATAGTTAGCACAGAGTTTTGTGCAAGGGGTATCCTCAAAACATTTTTAGTAACATTATCAGGCACACTAAATAGAAAATAAAAGACAAAACTGGAGGAAAAGGGGAATTAAGATAGGCAAAGAAGAGATTCTAAGTTTTGTATTTTCTTAAGCAGAGTAGGTATTCTGAACACAAATGTTTTAGAAGAGAATAAAGAGCTCTAATAATTTTATGAGTTAAGAAGCATTTTGCATTTTTGCATGGCTAGCTAAAATATAGGTGTAGGACTTTAGATATTCATTTATTTTTCTATTATTCATTGGGAACCTGTATTGTAAGAATTTGGGATACATCAGTATTTAAAACAAAAATACTTGTTCTTGTAGGTATTTAACATTTACCAGAAAAATATCATGCAAACCTTCTTATTCTATAAGTTTATTAAAAAATGAGCATGTATATTAATACATGTTTGTCTCACACATGTAATATTTTCACACTTTTATATCTGAAGCTATCATATGCATGTAGGATAAGGTTTCATTTTTTATCATGGTAACTATATTTCAGATTGTCTTTACATTTTCAAACTCCTTTGGCTAATTTCATGTTAGATTTCAATAGATCATCATTTGTTTTGTTAGTTTCTGTACTTGCTTTTAACCACAAAATCCATGTAAGAGAAAAGTCTCATCTTTGTTATTTGTTTAGTGTTTATTTTTGCTTATTTTATTAGTATCATGTCTAATCCTTATTATCTCTATGGAATTTCCCCACCTAAACTATTCTAACTTTAGTTAAACTAGATAATATAACTTATAAATCTACTTAACCCAGAACGCATAAATTGCTACATACTCACCTATGATACCATAAAATTACCATAAAATTGCACAAAGGAAGAATTTGACCTCATCTGAGCTTTCAAGAAAGTGCTCTTGAGGAAATGGACATGTTGATAGAACCAGAGTGGGGAGGAGGAAAAGGAGGCAGCTATGCAAAGTATGTGCCTGTGGGTGCATACCTATACAGATGTGCAAAGGGGCATTCTAATGCAGGTGGCCATATTTGAGATAGATAAAGTTAAGGGAACAGGATAGATATGGGAAATTATGGAATATTTGTAGGTAACCCACAGTGAATCAGGTGAGGCTACTTGCAGGGGATGGGTAAGGGCTATAGTGAGCAGAGCCATCAGATAAGATAGGGCCTTACTGCAGTAAGGTGCTTACGTAACTCAGTGGACAGTGAAGAGTCACTGCATATTTCCAGCTCTGAGGGATTTGAACAGGAAAACTGCAGGTGGGAAGACCACCTAAGAGAGGTAATGAGGGGCTGGCAGTAAAAATAGAAAAATAGAAAAAGAGTGAGAGACACTGTGAAGATACTTCAAAAGGAATTGAGCAACTCATTGGTTTTAAATGTATGGTACTGAACTAGCAATTTTGGTAAGGTTTAAATGGGGCAGAGATGTATTGGAAATGTAGCCAATGGAAAAGTGGGATGGATCCGAGAAGAGGTTTTTCAAGATCTTTGATCCTTTCTAACCTTTGTGTTGCTGCTTTGTAATCACAAATTCAGCTCTGGCTAGCAGGATTTGGGTTTAGACACAGTGGTGGTTAATCTTCAAAATACAAGTTGGTTTTGGTTTTTTAAACAGATTGATTTGCATTTTATTTTTAGTGTTGAAGACATTTTAGTTCAATTATTCCACTTGTAGAAGCTGCATCAGGTAGCAGTTAAGTGGGCAGGGTCCAGAGCCGAGTGATCAGATTCCAGCTGTTGACTTACTGGTTATGTGCCTTTTGTCATATTATTACTATCAATTGCTCTGTATCTCCATTTCTTCATCCTCTAAGTGGGCTTCTATTAAGTAAGGTAATGGTGAGGATCCAAGAGTTAAAAATAGAATGTGCTTCTAACAATGCCTGGCACCTGAGAAGAATAAAATCAATGGCGTTATGATTTCTAAAAAGGAAAAACATCGAACAGTATGCAACCAGATGAATCAAAATCAATTTGGTTGTATTTTCTTGAAGTTAAAGGAGAAAAACATAATTTAACATTTTATTTGTGCTCCCTCATCCAAAATGAGGCATAATCCCAAAGGGGTCTGTTTGTGTAAGCGTGAGGGTGCGTGTGAGTGGGTGGGTAGGTGGCTTCTCACTGCCTCACCTGATCTAGTTAATTCAACTTCAGAAGACATAGTAGCTCAAATAGAAGATTGCTTAGGAATAAGTGATGTCAGAACATAAAGGTTTTACAGAAAAATCGTCAATCACTAATATTCTCAGTATTTTTTCTTGACAAGAGAATAATAAAAAAATTCTCTTTTTCACAGTTTTTACTCTTTTTACTTCTGTTCTCTTCTTTTCCATGTTACGTATTTTCAGGGAAGAGCATAAATAAAATACAGTAAAACTAAGAAAGAAGTCTTTAGTACTTAGCCCAGTCGCACACTAGTATTTTTTTCCGCTACTGCATGTCTTAGAATTATGTGATTTGGGAAGTTATATGCTACAGAATAAGGAATATATGTAACACAATCCAATAATCACTTAGAAATTTATTTTTTAAATCCTACTCTTTCAAAAGCTTTCATATTCTAATGTGGCTAGTCACACTGATGTTGTGATGCTCTGCTGTTCATGCATTCTTTTCCAAAAGGATTTTTCCAGTCTTATACCATCTATAAAGCAAGTCTATGTACAATGGAGTCATGTCTCAAATGATCAGTTTTAAATGATGTGCATAGAAATAGATATTGAAATTCTTTGTAATTTCTTCAGGACTAATAAAGAGTTTAAGGATAGCTCTCAAAAAATTTTTTTTTGTCTTCGCCTATTTGCAAGACCACAATTTTTCTATCGATTACAAGGTGCTAGGTTTCATTACTCAGTAACGTCCGACTGTTTTGACAGCCAGGTTGCATTAGCATGGCCTATTCAGCTGTTGCGGAGAGATGCCAGTTGCCATGGTGAAGATTATGATGTCCCACATCCAATCTATCCCTCAGATGGGGATGGCTTTTGCAAAACCACATGCAAATATTTGTTTTCAAAGGTACAACTGACTCTTTGTGAAGCACTGGATTACTAGAGTGGATGTCTTTTCAATGAATCATCAAACGAGGATCTATTACCGCATGATTTCCCTTTTTGTTTAAATAAACTTCCACTGCCCTCTATCTCAATGCCCGTTGACAAAGAATCAGATTTCATATTGTATAATTTGACTGTCCTTTTTAGTTACACAAGTTAATGAGTTTATCTGTTTAACTTGTCTAATTTCTCTATTCGATTGCCTCAGAGCTGACCTCATATGCATGGGTTTGTTGTGTTTCCCCTAGCTCACAAGTAGAGTTTTCCATCTTCCTGTGGATAATGTCTAAGTAGCACAGATACTTCCGTGGAAATAACAATGACCCTTTGAACATCCAGGGGTGTTCTCTGAATTGGGGCTTTTCCTAAGAATATGTATCAAATGTTAGTATGAATGTTTTTAAAATATAGGTATTTTTTGTTTTGTTTGTTTTTAATTTCGGGAATACTTGTCAACTTAAGTAAAAGGAGAACTCCATTAAAAAACCTTTTAATAAAATTTCTGAGAGTCACCAGTTTGCAAAACTCTTATAACTGCCATCATGAGTGCTAATATTGGTTATATTAATTAGTTTATCGTTGAAACTAATAATTAAACTGACAGCTTAATTAGTTTAATAGTTTTCATTAATAATTTAAATATGCATATACTAGTTTTATAAAATGCCTGTTTCTGTGGCTTACTACTGCATTTCCTTTACCTTCTATAAATAGAATACTGCAGGTTTGATAAAGCACAGAAGAATCTGAGAGACAAAATAAAATGTGCTACTTGTATAAAATGTCCTCTTCTGAAAAAAGAAAGAGAAACAGAAAAGTAAAAGGAAACCTGGTGACACACTGTGAGGCTTATGATAACTATGTTTGCCTTTCAGATCCCCAGCTCAAGGGTATAGTGACCAGGTTATATTGCAGGCAAGGCTACTACTTGCAAATGCACCCCGATGGAGCTCTCGACGGAACCAAGGATGACAGCACTAATTCTAGTAAGTGACAACCTCAGGCCACCAGTTACACAGTTGGTAGAAGATACACTGCTACTTAAGTGACTTTTTAAGATTCATTTGCAAATTTTTGGTCATGTTGGTTCATCTTTATAAATGTTACACGCTAGAATGCCATTTACAATTTTATTTACACTATGTGGATGAAAATATTAATGGAGCAACCAAAGAAAACTGTGGTTTAAAGATGATTATGTTAAACAGTTGTCATACCCAGAAAAGTATTATTACTTTTAATCTTATTATTACAAAAGTTAAGTAAGTACACTAGTGTATTTAGGTAAAAATAAATTACATGTTTTCATTGGATGTATTATTTTATCAGGCTCTGAGGTTCTTAATGATGCCTGTGGAAACTCAAAATCTACAAGGAATAGTTTTGTTTTGTTTTGTTTCGTTTTACATAGTAGAAATATAATTTAAAATTATTTGCATTGAACAAAAAAAAGTATAGAAAAAACATGAAGGTTGTGTACTTTGAAATTCATTGTGCAAAGTGTTTAACTACTTTATAGAATTGCATCTGTGATAATTTTTAATTAAAAAGCTACACATCTTCCATTGTATTAATGTCTGTATTCTTTTTCCTATTTCTTTATGTATAACGTTTCTCCGTCTGGTGCCTCTCCTTGCTCAACTGTCTGTGTTTTGCTCTCCCATTTTCTGTTTATATTGGCATTCGATTCATTTTTAATTTAGCATATTAGTTCCAAAATAAGCATACTTTTTACTGTTTGGGGGAGTTAGTGAAAAGCAAAACTGTTTCTATTAGAAATATTTAATCATAAGAAACATTACTGGTGGATCAAAAGTAGATATGAATTTTTTAATTAATGTATCTCTTATTCTTCACATATAAACATCATTCCATGAAAAGAAGTGAGGATTTGAACAATACACATAATCAAATCAGAAGGCACTTCCTTTTTTATTTTTATTTTATTTTATATATTTTTATCAGCTCAATTTAAAATTCAGCACTTCCTTTTTTAAATTCTAGTGATCAAATTGCCAGTAACACTGATTCTGACAGTAGTTAGTGATACAGAAAAGGTTATTTTTACGTGTGGTTTTGCCATGTAAAATGTCACTATTTTTCCAGCCATTGTGTTCACTTTTTATATTTTGTGCATTGCTTCACTTTTTAATTTTTCTTCAATTCATTTTTAATTTTTGTGTTTATCTACATTGTCCTCATCAATTCCTAACCTCTTTACTCTCTTTGTGTCTCATATCACCCTTTTTATTTTAAAATTTTTCCCTTTTATGTTTATTGGTTTACTTTTACTTTATTTCCTTTTTGATACAGGAAAAGAGAAGGTAAAACAATTCAACTACAAAAGAAAGGGGAGGCATTTAATGCCAAACATGATTTGTGCAGGTTTTGTTATTAGTTTGGACTTTCAAAGATAATTGGTACTTGACAATCTTTGACCAGCAAAAGATGTCAGTTTCTTGTGGTTCAGGCTAATACATGTATCTCTGCTCAGTCTTTTTTCCCCTTTAACTCCTTTTGCTGACAAAAACCATTTGCTGACAACAACCATTTCCTTTCTCTTATGTGTTACTGTTGTGTAGGTCACAAAGTTTAGGGATTCATAATTTCTGATGTCTTCAGTGTTCTCAAATTTTGTTTGGCCTGGGAGGATTAGAACGTGATAACTGGATTCCCATAACTCTGCTCGCTAGATGAGCTATGACACTCTGAAAGATTCATCAGACTAAAGACTGATGCCGTCCATTTTATGACAAAAGTTTTCAAAACAGGACATACACCATAGCTTCATAAACATATTGCTTTATTGGACTACTTGAAAATAATTTCACTCAAAGGTTTTATGTGTTTTTTCTATAGCTTTTTTTCTTCGTGTAATTTTTGTAGTGACAACCAAATTGGTTACCTCTAATGATAGGAATCAATATCATTTTGAGAAGTGTCTATTAGACATTGCCTTCTAAAAGTCATACTGCTTCAGAATTGAATAAGCACTTTCTAAATATGGAAGTGCAGATTTATTATGTGCACACATACAAGTCTGGTTATCTGAATAATTTTAAAGACTAAACTGGAAAGCTGAGATACTAAAAAACACTCCACCTTCTGTTCTGTAAATGTATGGGGACTTTTTTCCTTCTGTATCTGCAGTAGAAGGAGCAAAAACTCAGAACGAATCTTGAAATTTGTTCTGACACTCTAAATGCTAGTGAGACGCAGTCCTGAGAAGGAAGATGAAACAGGATCTCCTTTGTAAAAACAAATCAGAAGAAAATCATGCTCACACTCAAGGGGCTCAAATTCCTATGCAAAGTTCTGGTTCACAGCTTTTCTGAGAGGTTATATTGCATTTCAAGTGCACTGTAGGCCAGTTAGTTTAGTTTTGTTACTATTTCAACATTTGCAAAGAAATAAAGAAAAACAGTGGGTAAAATCAATGTTCCCTCCTCAAAATGTTCTACAAATTACATGACTATAAAATTTAATACAATTGGCAGAATCTTAGCATATTTATAAAAGTAATGGAAATTACTAATTAACTTTATTTTTATGTCCTCTGACCTATGTAAATTGCAAAACGGTGTTTCTTAGGATGAATTTAAAGACATTTTCTTTTCTCTGGTTCATTTCAGTAGTCTCATGAATCTTATGAAAGATGTAAGCACTGAAAAATTCTTTAAAAATAGGGATGTGCTTTAGAAAGGCTGTCAGGTCGTACTTAGAGTACAGCTCTTTTGTTGTGAGGAGGGAAGTGATGTAATAATGCTATAATCCTTCATAAAAATGTTTCCATTTTTTATAACTCCCTGAATACAAACCATGGGTTAGTTATCCATAACTAGGAAAAATAATTTAAAAAAAAACCTAAAACTCACCCAGATAGCACTCTAAAAGTCACTAAATAACAAAATTGAAGGCTTGAACTTTCATATCTTCATGATTTGAGTTCAGTTCATTTTCCACACTAAGTATGAAATTATTTAGAATGAAAAAAAGAAAAAACCATCCTGCTAAACTGCCTTTGTTAAAAATTTCAGATGAATTAAGAGGAGGAAAAAAAGGCCCACTGGTAGATGAACCTTGGTGCCTCTGTTCTCCAAGGGTTTCCAGTCTAAGACCTATAGCTCTCTGGGAAGGAAAAGTAGCACAAAAATCATGGATGATGGGTAAATGGTTCTGGTGGAGAAAATACTATAGCAAGTCGACTGCTTGTTGTTGACTACCATAATAATGGAAAGATCTTTCACAAAAGGAAGTGAGCACCTAGGTAACCTCGTAACCACTCTCAATTTCAGAGGTTTATTTCTTTAAAATTCTTCTAAACATCAGCATCCCCATGAACTATGGTATCTTATAAGTGGGTGATTTTTCTTTTCCCCCGGTTTCCTATTGGGGATGCCATGGATTTTTTCTGTGCTGTTAAACTTCATTGTTCCTATTGACAGACAATAGCTACTACAAGCAGAACAGGACTCTACAGATATCAATACGCTATTAACTATGGCAATGTTAAAACGTCAAAAGTCCCTCTCACCTTAGAAATTCTCAACCTGGTAACTTGATGTGTAAAATACTTCAATCATTCAGTGGACACCACCCCACAGGATGTCAGTTCTCACCTTAGTTGTATATTAGGGTCATTTGAGGAACTTTTCAAAAAAATTCCTTCTGTCCTAAACCCATTTCCAGAGATTGTGATGTGGTAGGTATGGGGTTGAGCCTGGCCACCCTATGTTATGAACACAGCTAGTTTTAATGTGCGGCCAGAGTTGAAAATCACTGTTATATGAAGAACTGGAGTGTTCCACGAATGAACAGAGTCACAAAAACTTCTTCGTTATTCTTACTCCCCTAGGCTTTGTGACATTGCCTTATAATTATATAAGAAACAAAGAGAGTGGAGAAATAAAATTGTGTCTCAATTAATGTGGGTATCTGTGGTTTTAATTAGTACCAGTTCCATCATGGTCAGCTCTGAATGGTTCTCCACATTTTAGTGTTTATAAGCATTCACTTTCCACTATCATTCTGTAAATTATAATGCCTTGTATTTTATTTTTATTTATTTGTTTATTTATTTTTGAGACGGAGTTTTGCTCATTGCCCAGGCTAAAGTGCAATGGCACGATCTCAGCTCACCACAGCCTCCACCTCCCAGGTTCAAGTGATTCTCCTGCCTCAGCCTCCCAAGTAGCTGGGATTACAGCCGTGTGCCACCAGGTCCAGCTAATTTTGTATTTTTAGTAGAGACAGGGTTTCACCATGTTGGTCAGGCTGATCCCAAACTCCTGACTTCAGGTGATCCACCTGCCTTGGCCTTCCAAAGTGCTGGGATTACAGGCGTGAGCCACCGCACCCAGCCAATACCTTGTGTTTTATAATTCAGATCCCAACCAAAACCCAAGGGAAAAACACTAGTATTTTTTTTCAGTATGATCATTTTAAACTATCTTGTATAATTTTTCTGGTTCCCATAACCACATCATTTTGGTGAAGTCATAATCTGTTTGTTTTCTATATCAAATATGTGGCACCTACAAATATCATTCAGAGTGTGTGAAAGTTAGAAGAGGAAAGTTAGAATAATTATGTTTGAATTAATTAGGTTAGTGTAGCTCGCGTGGACAGGCATATGGTTATGGTTTCCCTCCAAAATTTTGTACATAAATCAGGAATTATTCTATGGTACCCATTCTTTCAAGATGTAAGGGAGATGGTACAGTTCAGGTATTCTAAACAGGAGTGAATATAGCCATCTCCCACCAAGAAGGAATACTGAGAGTTGCCAACTAGCACAGGTAGCTCCCAGTACTCAACAACTCACATCTATATTTAATATTAAATAATGGAAATGAGGAAAAAACGAATTCTTTCATAAGAATAACATAATCCCCTAAAATCCTATAGCAGAAAATCTGAGATTAGTTTACATAGTGAAACTAATATCCAAGTAACCATAGATGCCCCTGAGTATTTTTCCAGGGGTAATATTCATGGCCCTGGCCTGAGGTTTTCCTTTTATATTTATGTAGCACAGACCTCTTGGGATCTTGAGAACTGTAGCATGTAATAATCAAAAGAAAGGGTGTAATTTTCTTCAACCTATTAAGAGGAAACATGTCCCTGAGAATTAAATAGAACACAATTTGTAAAGTTTGTTTTTAATTATGTACTACTTAGACCCTTGGAATGAAGTCCAAATTGCCCAAATTTTTCAAATGATTTGCTTTTGTGCAATAGAGAGCCTGAGTTTGGATATTGTACTTACCCATTTACGTCACTATTTTAGTATTTTCATCTCCTGTTCTGTCCTGCTTAGAATTAGACTTAGTTAAGAAGGACTTGAGTAGCAGCAGATAACCTCACTGTAAATAATTAATAGTTCTCTTACAAATTTATCTATAATAAAATCTCCAAAATCATCAAGCAGTTATCTCTAAGAATGATGCTAGAAGACCTACTAAACATTCAACATGTAACACTGCCATGGAAATGCATTAAAGGGATATTAAGTTTTTTAATGTTTTAACATTGCTATCTTGCAAAAATAGATAAAATGCTTTTAACGATTTATCAACAGAGAAGAAACAAAACATGGAAACACAAATGAGTAGGCTCTCTGACATTTGCATGCCGTTCAGTTTTGATTAGTTCTTTCTAAATTTAGCTCATTGGCAGGTGCACATCTTTTCCTGGCTTTGCTGGCATATCATGTTGGTTCTACCACAGTCATTTAGTTTTGGAATCACCTGTTTAACTTCTGGCCTGATCTCATTGTGGTGACAAATCACACTTTCTGTGTAGAGGGTTAGAATAAACACTCAACTTGGACTTTTAAAATTCTGCTCTTTGAGAATTCACAGTTCATTTCTTTTGGTATCTAATGGTGTCAGAGACAATGTTTCTAGAGGCACGATTACAGGCTTGATTCTGTTTATTATCGCATCAGTTCTTCAGAATGCTGTCAGCAAGACTGCTAACATTTAAAGATTGAAGCTGAAGTACTCATTTTACCCATAGCAGAAACTTCTTACTTATAAAGCGAAATATAAATTACTTAACTGGAATTTCTTGGAAAGTATAGGCAAAGATGATGTTTCTTAAAATGAATCAGAAAGAAAAAATTACACTGTGCCCTGCTTCTTCCTGCCCATTCGTGATAGACCATGTTTATCTTCACAGCGCTCTTCAACCTCATTCCAGTGGGACTGCGTGTTGTTGCCATCCAGGGAGTGAAAACAGGGTTGTATATAGCCATGAATGGAGAAGGTTACCTCTACCCATCAGTAAGTAAGATGCCAAAGATCTTGGCCATTCGTTCAATGCACGTAAAATAACAATGGCAGCAACAACAGAAAGAAAGTTCTGCATCTATTGTTTCTGCCAGTTTTTGCCTTAGTGTTCAATCTTTGCGAGAATGCTTAGAAGCTGCTTATTTATCATCATCAATGTTTAGTAATATGAGTTTATCTAAAGGAAGTGTAGTACTATGTCTTAAACAGTGATTTTGCCATAGTTTAAAAAGCAACCTAGTTTACACATGAATCGAATCTTTTGTATTTCTAGTTAGAGTTTCTTGTACATTGTTTTAAAAGAAACAATATGCATTCTAAAAAAAAAAAGAGAAAAGTAAAAGGAGAGTGTTTTTAAAATCAGAATTCAAAGTGTGTGGATATTTTATTGAAAAAACAACTACTTATAATACTGAAATGTGTATCTCTTGCAAGCCTCTGTGTTTTGTGGTAATATTTATTGGAAGCTGAGCACTTTTCTAACCATACGTCCTCTTCTGAAATATTTTCTATTTACAACTAATTTGCACTCAGATATGCTGTATTCATGCATATAATGTAGTTAGAATTCATTTCTGCCACAGGTTTAAGCAGTAAAGACTCCAGTTAAAGGTGCTTTTTTCTATTATCCCTTGAGCAAAAATTGATGAAGTCTTAAATGCATTAAAATATGCTCTTACGTGTCATCCTCATGTAAATTCTTTAAAACTCTGTCATTGTTAAATATCACCACCAACAAAACTATAGGTAAACATACACACACATTTCGTGTGTGTGTGTGTGTGTGTGTGTGTGTGTGTATCTTTAACAGAAACATTCTCCAGGGGGCCTCCCAGAAAATGTAATCGATTTTCTTCAGTCAATTTGGGAAATCCTATGACATGGAAATGAGGTTTGAGCTGTGGATTCCCTTCATGGTGAGCTCAAAAGTGCTGGCTCTTCTTATTCTTGAGCCTTCAATCTGAGTTCCCTGAAGGGTGTCCCCGCACGCAGAACTGGGTCCCACATTATGCAAATTGTGTTCTCTAGCTGAAGATAAATATGCAGCATGTTGCCAGCAAGATCAAACTAGAATTCCCTATGCTCCCTTTAGAAAAAATTAAATACAAAAAGGATCACTTCCTAGAGATGCTTTATTTTCAGATACAACTTAATCTTGTTGATTTGGAATTTGCTGTGTTATTTTTGTTTCTTTATTTTCTTCCCAAGTAATATTTTAGAGGCCTCAACATTATTAGATGCAGTGTGTCTGCTGTAGCTTCTAGTTCTACTTTCTGTTAATAATTGCATCACAATGCTGTACTCTGATACATATATTGATGACAGGGAAATTGAAATGTTTGTCTTATCATTGTGCTGCTGAGAGAGTTGTTTTTCATTTTTTTATTTTTATTTTTTGTCATGAGGTTGTAAATGTATGCTATTCTTTTTTAAAGGTAGGGTATATCATTCTGAGTATGAGTCTAAGCCTAAAATAAAAGTACTGATTATGCTTGGTGCTGGCTAAGCATCAGGAATAGAAACAAGAAATGCGTTAACTGCCAAGTCCAGTCGCCTGCATTTTGAATACGGTTTCTGCACGCAGGAATCAGATCTCATGAGGGTCACTGAGGGCAATAGCATTTGCCCAGGGTGAGTCCCAGGAACAATTTCAGCTTATTACTGGGTGTGTTGTTCTCTCCTCTCCTCCTTCCTTCTGGTTCTCCAGTTGCTTGGCTTCCAGGCCTCCCCTTCGGTGTCTTTATTCTCTGACTTACAGATGTTGGTTTTCTCCTCTTCCCATCCTTGACTCCTTGCTCTGAACCCAAAGTCTGGTAAGAGACACAGTTTACTCAGCCCCTACCCTAAGAGATCTCCTCTGCCTAAGCCAGGCCCCGGTACGCCTTAGCCATCTTTAGAAAGAGGACTTAGATAAAAACCAAAAGCAATTATGAATCTGTATTAGTACCTCCTAATTAAACTGCTCTGTTTATTTCAATGTAAAAAAATTTGAACTTCAAATATTTCAGTACAAATAATGTTTATCTGCAAGTATTTATTCCATAATTTGTTACTGAGGCCCTACTAAAATAGTAATATAGAGCAAATATAGCAATTATTTTCCTATATAAAAATAATAGCTATACCTATACAATAACAATAGCGGTGATATTTGTACAATCCACTCTGCCTAGCACTGTTCTAAGCACTTTACCTGTATTAGCTCATTTAATTATCCCAATAACCTTTTGTAAGCAAATATTATTAAAACAAGGACACTGATAATACAGAGAGTTTAAGAATCTGTCCAGAGTCACTCGGGTAGCAGATAGAAAAGATAAGATTGGAGCATAGTTAGTATGACTCATTAGCTTACATTTTTAACTGTTTTATTGTACTGCTTTTATGTGCCAGACATTTTTTCATAATACGGTCTGACACCTTTTCTAACAAGAAGTTATAAACACATTATGATGTAATGAAAAACTTTAGGGAATTGTTACCTAGGGAATAAACTGTATTTCAGTGAAATTATTGAGAAGTGTAAATTCAAACATAATCTGTTTCTGTTAAAGATTTTTGAGTAAAAATTAAAACCATAGAAAATTTGTCAAGAAAAAGTTTGATATTGTATAAAGGGTATTAAATATTTTTGATATTTATTACATTTAACATTTGAGCTTTAAGTTTTAAAAGCCATGAGAAAAGTTGTTAAGTCAACTAAGAAGTTTTGAACTAAAATGAGTACATTTTTGAAAAAATGACAACTCCAGTCAAGCTCAGATTTAACAAAAAAAGTTAGTGGAGATTTAAATTTGAGAAATAAATTCATCCATTTTAAGCTATGCCAATTTTTTTAAAAATTAATTTAATTTTTGTGCAGTGTAAACTAGTGTCTAATATGGAATTGATGTTTTTGAACATCCATAGGTTTAGATGTACTCGATAAAATACTAAGGTCATTTCAGTTGAATTCTGGTGAATGAATATCACAACGGTGATTTGACTTGAGGTGTATCTTCCTCTATTTTTATTTCAGGAAGTAACTTTCATAGTCCTTTGCTATCCAAATAAGATATTTAATGTGTCAGATAATTCCATCTTCTGGAGACAGAAAAAAAAGTACTTGACTGAGATGTAAGTTCCCATTTCCAATGCTAAAGGTGCCTGTTCTCTGGGGGATTTTTCTTCAATATGACAGTAGTTATTTCTGTTGTGTTCCTAATGATTGCAATATAGTACTTGATATTGTGTTATAGGAGATTTAATGTCAGATACAAGCCATTTGATTGAAGGTACAGTGTGGGCTACAAGGACACAGAACGGAAACTGGCAGAGTAATAATTCTGCCAAAAATTAGACAGTTTAAAATTATATTTGTGAACCAAAATGTACTTTAACCACCTATAACTATTTCTAGTGATGAGAGAAGCAGTCAAGTTTTTTGTTTGCTTGTTTGTTTTCCAAACCTGTGACTTTTGAAAGACTAACAAAATCCTCCATAGAAAGCCAAGATTTGGAATGTAAATTGTAAACAATAAGGAAAAACTGGGAATGAAAGGAAAACGTCATTCGTCATCAGGGCAGGGATAAAGGATAGTTGAAGTGAGAATGTGTTTCTGGCATAAGAAAGATGGAGAAGAAAAAGAAGGATGGAAAAGAGACTGATAATACAGTGAATAAATCTCTAGGCTTTATTCCAAACACCTGGGTCCTGGATCTGACAACCAATACCTGTGTTAAAACTTCCTAATCTCTCCTAGTCTGTCCCCTCATCTGTCAGATTACAGGATTTCTCTTGAATCCTTCAAGTTAATTGTGGAGTTTAGAATTCTGGTTTTAGTCTGATTGATTTTTCTGAATGATAAGGTAATTTTACATAAAATGCATAAAGATTCATTATTGGTATTTTATCACAGGCTGGCATTTATGAGAATATTATTTTCTTCCTGGTGCCATAAATGCTTCCATGTTCTAGGTGCAGGCATCTGGGCAGTCATAAGTGCCAGTGTTCTCCTGAAATTAGCATCTCATCTGGGTCTGTTGGCCAGATTGTATAGGTGGAGAGAAAGATAATCCCTTTTCATGTTAATTTTAAAAATAAGCAAGGAAAGTGCACGGCTACCATGTTTTACAAATATTAGGGCTCATGCGAATCACCTGGAAAGCCAAGAAAAGTATAGATTTCTTGGATCACCCTCTAGATATTTTAGTTCAGTGGGTCTAATGGGAAGCCCAAGAATCAACAGTTTTTAAGGGTCACCCTCCCTCACTTCTGTTGGTTGTTCTAAAGTTACTATTTCAACCGTGAACAACCACACAACAAGCATTGCTGCAATGGTCTCTGGGGGAGATGGTGATAACGTTAGACCAAGGTGATGGCAACAGAGTTGGTGAAAATCAGTAAATGGACTACCCAGGCACTGAAACTAAATATTTGGATTTTCTAACTTTTCTACCACTGAGCTGAAGTTTACAGAAGTTTGAAAGCAGACCAGCATACTGCTTCACTTATGCAACAACCCAGAACTTCTGGAATAGGGGCTGGTCACCTCTGTGGGCTGGCATTACCTCTCCTACCTATCGATACAGGATGAATATGTATATATGCGTGTTACTTATTCAAGGAAAGCAAGATAAATGCTATGTATTCCTCAATAAGCATTTTCAAGGTCCTCAAAGTCTTATCCACTCTACATAAGATGGTGTTCTGATACCATATCTTTCAGGAGCATTTTCAAATGAGCGTCTTCTACAAAAGTGGTTTCACCTGCCCTCCTCTGTGCCAGCAGGCTTCTCTTATTGATGTGTCCTGAGTTGTGTTTCTGTCTGTCCTTAGCTTTTCAAGGGCACCCAGGCATGAAAGCATCCAAGCTACTCACCTCATCCTTCCATGAACTGTTCATCTTCTTGCAGGATCCATAATTCTAGCAAAACAAGGTGGAACAATGTTAATTTCTTCTTGACATTTATTCCTCTGTTCATTGCTCAAGTTTAGGGTATAGAAATACAAC